AAATATAATACATCCTCGACATCTTTTGCAATTTAGAGATGCAAGTCAATAACAAGTGTTCAAAACTTGGCAGTCGAAGGAAGTATTTGTAATCTGGCGATAATGGTCTAATCATTAGCGATAGCATGGTGCGAGTTTATCGGCTAGGCTGCTTATCTCTAATAGGTCGAGAAAGAAAAATAAGAAGCTTTTGAAAACAATAGAGGTCGAGAACAATGTGAAAAAGAATTTTATAAGTTATTTAATTATATATAAATTAGATATAAATATTATTGACATTTTTTTAAATGGAATCATAATCTTTTTTTCATGACTTAGTTTCTCTAGTCATTCTGCATATAAAGATATTAAGGTAAAGCTATAAAAAATGTACAGTTTACGAAACATTTGCACGAACTTAAAATATTTTTTCTATAATAATCCGAAATATTTTATTATGATATATGCTAAAACGATCTACCTTGTATAATTTCTCTCAAATATTTATCATGCGCAAATTTCATTTCCTATATTCAGATGCTCAGATTATAACAAAGCATACAGAATCATTAAAATCAATAATATCGAGAAAAATATATGATAGAAACTTTTATAAATTATACAAGAGTACCATTTTCTAAGTTTATGCATATAGGACTTACAGAATTTTTATCATACTCATTATTTCGTCTTTAATTATCTTTGATACACAATTTAGTCCAAACATGAGAAAGCGTTGTAATTAATTTATCAATTTTCAAGATAATTTTTTTCAAAAACGCGATATTTACGTAGAAAAACTACTCCACATTTTTAAATTATCCAATTTTAAAACTTATTCTATATCTTTAATTTATTTCTTCGAAGAATCATTGCTTTCTCGATAACATTTTTTTGAAAGATATCCTATATAAACCAACAGGACATTACAGGGTGGCGCATAAAATTTCACTTAATTATTTCATTAAAACTTGTAAAGCATCGATTTTTTTTTAAATGTGCGACCAAATGCTTTACTAATTCGTAAAAATTCTTTATGACATTATGAGCTGGTGAAGGTAAAACACACATACTTTGTAAAATGACGATTGACTTAAAAAGTTGAACGTAAAATAAAAATTATATTGTTTTTCACAATAAAAAGTATAGTAGAAACTTGGAGATGTCTCCATCGTAGATATGCTGTGCATTACCTGAAGATTCGTATCGAAAAATATAATCGGATATAAAAGCGTACTTTCAAGTTTTAAGAAACAATCATATTGAATGTTATCTATTAGAGATAATTTCCAAACTTTGCTAATTATCCATTTTCCAAGCTTTTTTGGTAATTAATTATATTTCAGTTCAATACCAATTTTGTTAAAAATAAATATTCTATGCAAAAGGAAGTGATATGGCAATGATGCGCCAATCTGCATTTCACAAACTAGTCACTGAAAAAAAATACTAAATTTTAATAAATATTGCTTTGAATAATTTTAATTGAATGTAAATATTTATTAGATGTAAACATATATTTATATTTGATACAAGACCCATTCATTTAACTAACATTTTTCAAATTGAATAAATGTTGATTTATTGTAATTAAATAACTTAATATTATATATGTGTTAAGATTTAGTAAATTTTTTTTCAATGTGTACGCATTTTTACCTTTACTCAATTTTGACACACCTAAGAATTTTCACGGAGTACAAGATTTGTATTAAACACAATAGTTCAAATATGAAATAATTAAATGATACGATATTTCATGTGCCACTCTATATTATAGATCCGATTATCAATGCACATGGTCTTCAACACATTGGTAAACTTGTATAATAATTAATACGTAGATACGTGTAACGGTAAAAATGAAAAAGTTTCTATTCGCGATATCGCGTAATATCAGCGTCCGTTTCTTCCGTCTACTGTTAGGGCGCATCCACATTAAGAGTGGAAAAGCAAAATGCGGAAAAGCAGAAGTTGTTTAAGTTAATCGAATATTGCGTTATTAACAGTTAATACATACATATACATCTTTCTTTTTCTAGCTTTTTTCTTTCGATTTCTGATTAGGATTTCCGTTTTTCCATATATTCTGCTTTTCCGCTCCGAGTGTGAATATGCTCTTAGATATAGGTGTGATTAGAAATTAGAATACATCAAATCGACGGAGTTGGACAATCTCGACAGTCGTAAAAGATCTTTCCTCTTTGCTGCGGGTTATCAACTGACCTCTTCGCGGTTTACTTATAACGTTATTATAACCACTGATACGACACGCCGAGGATACAACCTTCGATTTGTCATGCAGTCAAAACGTGTCGCGATTCACAGACAAGCGAAATCCGTTCAAGACGATCCGTCCATGGCCACCGGATCACTTTCGTCCTCGGACGTCTAAGTACGCCTGAGAGTGCGTTGAAGTAATTTTTTTTTTTCCGAAAAAAGAAGTGCTTATGTATGTACATATTCTAGCCTTCGTTTAGCACACATCTTTGCTATTTAAAAACGCTTCTGTCGTTATTAGCATTAGGATAAAAGCTGCTGAGTCAACCATTATAGTATAATATAAAAAGAATAGTTTATGAGATACCGTTTGTTCGCGATGAGTACTTCTGATTAAAAGAGGTATAAAAAAAAGAAACATGCGCTCGCGAATGCGCTAGCAAACGAGCACTTCTTCATATTTCCCTATTTCTTTAGACGTCGTTATCTCACGTAAACATGCTTCTTTGTACGTGATACTCCCGTCGCGCGTATCATGGAAATAACCACGCGCGGGTGCCACGTGCTTCGGCCAAGACGCGCCATCGATGAATTACCGTTAATCAATTGACTTGGTGCAATAAAACAATTATCGCAAGTATGATTCGAGCGAAGTATATTATTGCGACGCTGATACTTTGTATTCCAATCGCACGCGACTCTACTAAAACATATATTAAAAATTATTTATAAAATAATTATTATTTATTATAAAGTTCACATCGAAAAAAGATCTATTTTTAAGTAAAAATCGAGCCCAGAGAATTAATTAATTAAATTAAAAGATTTTCAGACATCTTTATACGATCACAATAAAATTATTTATACTTTCCTGACTTATATAAACAACATTACGCGCAAAGAAATAATATCGTCGGTAATCGTAACAACGCAAAAAAACTTGTCGGTCGAATAAATAGTCTCGTACATATATGAATTCATTCTCGGATAATAACATCAAGTATTATAATTTTTATTTTATCATCATATCTATTGACGAACAAATAAATACTTTAAAATCATTTCCTCAGAATATGTACAAACTGTTACTTTATTTGACCATTTTAAATATCACTTAATCTCTGATCAAATAATAATTGTCATTATCCAAATAACATGGATATGTTCAAAATGAACGTATGTTTAACTTAATGTTTTTAAAATTATTTAATAAACGTTATAAAAGTATTTATAAAACGTTAATAACGTTTTATAAAATAGAAGTTTTCTGCGCTTTTAAACAGTATATAAAATGGTTTGGTATATTAAACGTTTTTTAAATATAAACTGCCTACTAGTAAATTATATGGCAT